CTGAGATGTACGGGAGTGGAATGCCTCATCCTGGGAGCAGATGCGGCGGAGGCGAAGGAATTGGGAATAGGGGATAGCATTTTTGCAGGAAGGTGGGTGGGAGGAGGAGTATTCTAGGTAGCTGTGGGAGTCGATGGGCTTGAAATGAATATCGGTTTCTAGGTGGTTGCCCGATATGGAGACAGAGAGGTCCAGGAAGGGGAGAGAGGTGTTAGAGATGGTCCAGGTAAACTTAAGGTTGGGGTGGAAGGTGTTAGTGAAGTGTATGAACTGTTCGAGCTCCTCGTGGGAGCACGAGGCGGCGCCGATACAGTCATCAATGTAACGGAGGAAGAGGTGGGGTTTAGGAAAAAAACAGTTTTTCTTCTTTAATCTGAATTTATCAACCAAATGGTGTTCAACAGGACCTGGACTTGACAACAACCTATATTTTTTGAAGGGAAGGGAAGTTGATTACATGTTGGTCTGCTGGTCACAGTAATAGATTCAGCTTCTGAGCCAACTAGGAGCTGATTTTTAATAAATCCCGTCATTTGTTGATTAATTCAAGTTTAGGGACATGGCTCTGAAATTGACTTAAACGTGACTCTAGACCCACTCTGTGGAATTAATACGTTTATGGTATCTAGGGATGGGCAATTATTATGACCTTGCCACTATTGTCCAGATTTTAAGAATAACAGCAAAATCTTGAATGACTGCTATTTCAGATGTGCAAATTCATAACAGATCTGAACTCTGAGTCTCTGGCACAAATCTCCCGAACAGCTGGGGAACTGCTGAGAAATTCCAGCCACTGATTATGCGAACACAGACCTAGATATTTGAATGCAAACATTTACTTATAAGTAGTCTATTGGCAATCCTGAGTATTGGCATTAATTATTCGCTGATCCTGTTCCTCTGCATTTTCGGATGAGATGTAAATCTAAGGCCACAGTAAATCTCTCACCTGTAAGTAATAGGTCCCATGGTAGTATTCTGAAGAATAGCAGAGGCGTTGACCCCAGTGGCCTAACATATTTACCCCTAAACCACAGCAATACGAAATAATTACCTGCTCATTGTTTTATTCCAGCTCAATTCATGAGGGTGGTACAAGTTTTAGGAAAACTGCAAGTGTCATAGAGTCACTTTGACACAAAAAGGAAGCCATTCAGACCATCAAATCTATGGCAGCACTCTGTAAAACAATCCAATCAGTCCTATTCCCTGTTGCAAATTTAATTCCTTCAAGTGATCATCAAATCTCCTGTAGAAATCTATGATCATCTCTGCTTCCACCACCCTCCATAGGTAGCGAATTTCAGTGTATTAGCGCTCACTGTGTCGATGTTCTTCTCGCATCCTTTCCCTCCCTTCAGCACATCATCCTCCACTTCCTCACACCTCCACTTCCTCACAATCCCCCCTCTCCGCACTTCCTCACACCCCCCCCACACTTCCTCACGTTCCTTCACCCCCACCCCCGCACTTTCTCACGTACCTTCCCCCTGCCCCGCACTTCCTCACGTACCCCACCCTGCCCTGTTACTGTGGACCATAATCTCAAATCTGTCTTCCTGAGTCTTTGTGCCATTAGCTAAAGGGAATACCCCTCTTTCTTTGTGTCTCTTATCTGAACCAGTCATAATCTCCTACACCTTTAGCAAATCTTCCCTTAACTTTGCTCCAAGGACAAACTCAGTTTTTGCTACTGTGTAGCTAAAATCCCTCATCCCTGGAACCACTCTGGTAAATCCCCTCTACACACTCTTAAAGGCTGTTACCTCACCCTTCCTAAAGTGTGGTGACCAGAACTAGACACAGTCCTCTAGTTGTGACCTAACCAGAGTTTAAGGTTCAGTTTTTGGAAGAAAGAGGCACAGGTGGAACTCTGAGGGATATTCATGAGTAAAATGGTTCTGCTATTATCTAACATTTCTGTTTATAATGTGAGGCAAATATAAGAACAGGAGGAATTGTAGAACATACAGCCTCTGAAGCACACTCTGCTTTTCCATTAGGTATAAACAGCACATCTTTTTATTTTTCATTTTTGGATTGTGGACTAAAAAGATTAAAACCGAGGAACCTGTAGAAGGAGATGTTGTCGTTTTAAAGCGAGTTGCAGGAAATCATTGTGAGTTCTATTTAAATTGCTGTTTTGCTCAGGTAGTGAGGGGAAATTGGTGGAGTGATCGGGGCAGCTTTCCCTAGAGATAGTCTTTTCAATCACAGACTATCAGGAACAGTTGTGTGCATCAGGGGAGCTCAGCATAACAACTCCTCCCTGGGCAAATGGACAACCTATGTGTGAGCAATACTATGGCAGAAAACTTCCAGACACTGAACAGACAATGTTATCTCTCTCCTTGTGCTGTAATAATAGAGAATTGGAAGATAGTTAGCTATTCCCTCTCACCATTTGCTAGCTGCTGCCCCTAACCAAAGACTGAGTGACAAACAGTTCATGCCTTATGTCTGCAGCAAACCCCAGAAGAGGTTTGAAAAGAAGATGATCAGTGATCAAAAGGGCTTGAAGGAAGCAAAAATACACTTCATTGAATCTTGTCACTGGTCCTATCGAACTGTATTGTCCTAATTAATTTTTCCCTTCCACTCATAGCATCTACATTTTTTTCTCTGTTTTCCTGTGTCTGACTGCACCTGGGTGTAGGGATTTAGTTTGATAAGACGTATTTTGTTTAGCTGTGGTTAGAACTGATTTCTTTGTAATAAACAGTAGTTTCTTGTTGAGTACAGAATGCTTGCCAATGTATTCTATTAACCCAAGTTTGTCAGGCAAGTAAGTTGGGAGATTTTGCATAATTTGATTAAACCTTTAACTTTTGTGATGCCTCGGGAACAATAGGACTAGTAACAGTACAATTTCCCAAGTATGTTGTGTCATACTCCATTTACCTTCTTTTTCTCCCTGTCACTTGATACTCTGATTTCTATCAGGTCAATCAATCTCCATTTTGAAAATTTCAGTTGTCATCTAATAGTTTTTTTTTGGAGGAGGATGTTCCAGGTTTCCACTACCCTTTGTGTGAAAATGTATTTCCTAGTTTCATACCTAAATGATCTGGTTTAAGTTTAGGGTTATCCTCCTTGTTTTTGACTCCCCACTGGAGAAAATAGGCTCTGTCTGTTTACTCTATTGATTCCTTCCAAGGGGCTCTTGTGGCACAGTGCTACCTCTGAGCCAGGAGGCCCAAATTCAAGCCCCACTTGTTCCAGAGGTATGTAATAACATCTCTGTACAGGTTGCTTAGAAATAGATTTTTTTTAAAAATCCTTCCATTGCCTTAAACACTTCATTAAACCTTGCCCTGAACATTTCTGGATTTAAGGAGCGCAATTTGTGATTATGCAACTTGTCCTTGTTCTTTAACCCTCTAAGGCCCAGTATTGTTCTGGTGAATGGTGAATTATGGCCTGTATTTTTACAGGGACTCCTACACCACTCTGCTCAAATAGCACTAACAATCTTGATGGCTTCCCCCTTCC